CGGTGTTTGCCATCGGGATTGGGTTTTCGTCGCTTGCCTACGGCGTTGTAAAACAAGCCAATTCACTTCGTGAACTCGGCAACCAGGATACCGTTTTTTTTTTTTTACCTCTGGTTTTTTTTTGGCGGTAACCATAATGGTGGTCGAGTAGATCATGTTGTGCGGGGTGGAGATCCCTCACTCCGCGCAAGGGGGATGATCGCACCACGTTGTGTTAAAATGGTCAAGCACCCTCGAGGCAGTTACACAGTGCGTAAAACTGTCAGGAAGTGAAACCACCAGAAAATAAATTAAGTCATACGCAGCTTTCATACGTACGCAAGGAAGTAAGCACAAGATGAAGAAAACCCTCAGCAAGATGCAGCGCACCCTTCATGCGACTCGCCGAATATCTCACGGCGCTTCGCGCTTGGTGATGTGAGAGCCTGGTCCGGTGAGAACCCGGCGTGCTCCGTCTCGGCTTTGTAGGGATGCGAGGTCAATGGTTTAACGACTACGGCATGCACGACTATGAGTACCCCCCCCCCCCTTCGTCGTGGAGAAGTCGAGCTTTGAAGTTGGGTCCAAGGGGGTGGTATCTTGTGTCATGTCACCTTCAGGTAGTTTTTTGTGGTCAAGCACTACTGTGTATAGAAACAGAAACGCTTACATAACGTGCATACACTTTGAGAGTAAAGCTTGCGTGTCCATGTGACACAAGGCAAGAAGCCATGTACACAGACATGCCATTTGCGAACTCCGTAACTAGACGAGAAATTTCCAAACGTGGTTTGCATGAGGTTTGTGAGAAAGAGAACCACCACCAGCTCTTTTGTCACAGCAACATTTAGCAGCATCGAAGGGGTGGTAGACTCCGAGGACATTGGTAAACATGCGTATGCCGGAGGGCACCAGACGTCAGTAGCATAGAATCCGGTCTTCAGGCTCACGTTGAGCTATGAGTACAATGCAAGATGTGGGGGGCGACACTGACTGCTTGTACGAAGACTTCGACTGCTGATCAGGGCTTCTGTGCCATCGCGGTCGGCGGTAAGCGCAGTGTGTATTGTGTGTTGTTGTTGGCCTGGTTGTGAACGGCCTTAGCTCTCACTTTTCATCTCGATGTAGTATGCCATCTGCTGAAGTCGTGAACGCTACAGGCGTTGAGGTGCATACCGGAACACTGCACGAGGGGCCTCGTCGCTCGGTTATCACAGATGACCAAATGACGCGAAAATAGAGCTTCCGAACGTTTGAGGCCATTTCTTACGAAGTCTTTTTTATTAGATCTTTTTCTTTTTTCCCCCTCAAAAAAAGACAACTCGCCAAAGAACACCTTCTTTCTTGACTCCACCCTACAACAGCAGTCTGGGCTCTCTTCCGATGGCCGAGACCGGCGTGGGTGATGATGCCCTGCTGCCAGCGACCGCGCTTGCGGTGGCCCTGGTGGCCCTCGATGAGGTCCAACGCAACGACTTGTCGCAAGAGGAGGAGGATACTGCCCCCGACCTTCCCCGTCCTAGACTCTCAAGAACGCAGCGACAGAGGAAAGACGTGAAGACATGCGCTTGGGCACAGATGTTGGAGGACAAAGACCTCGAGGACAGCAACAGCAGAACCTCCAAGCAGTTTCGTCTTGACTTCCGCGTCCCCTACTCATTTTTCCTGCGGCTCGTGGCGTTGGTCAAGAGCAAGAACTGGTTCGTTACTGCGGGCTGCGATGGAGCAGGTCGGCACAGCCACCCAGTGGAGCACAAGGTAAGCTGACGGCATGTATGTCGGATTCGTACGAGTGCAGCCTCTGCCCATACCAAGAAGAAGCTGCTGTACACTGCTGTACATACTGCTGTCGTGCTGTTGATACAAGCGGAGGAACTACAACGTACTGCAACTAACTACAGCAGTGCTACAGCAGTGGTCGAGCACCAGTGCTTCCGCATACAGCAGTCGAGCACAAGCATTCTGGAATGTTACGGTACAGACGCTCTGTCCATAACCTACAAGAAGGGGAGTTCTGCTGATGTAGTGTGGAGCAAAAACCATGCGCAGTTTTAGGACTGTTGTTCAGCTGCATGCCCTCGCCCGTGGCCGAGACGCGCTTGGTGACCGCTGGCCGAGCTCTCCCACTCTTGCAAAAAGTTCCCGCGGTCGCTCTGCTGTCGTGCATAGCAGCATATACACTGCTTCTACATACACTGCTGTGCCGTTGTTACGTCACCTTGGGTTGAACTGGCGTCCGGGATATCGCCGGAGACGAGTCCTCCAGTCAGCGCAACATCGCTAAATAGGCTGAACTCACAGTCGTTGAGTTGTTCAGCGCATGGCACAATACTCAGTCTCCCGCCCGTGAGATGCTTCCGCACGGCTTTACAGGCAACCACACCACATCATCACTAATAGCACCGCTGTATCCCGTGTATACGTTCCTTGTTGAACTTGCTGGTGCAGGTGCTGGCCTGGCTGACCATACTCGGCCGGGGCAACTGCTTTGCAAGCATATACCAGATGTCGTGGATGAGCGCTGCGACCGTGCAGGCGATGTTCCACAAGTTCTGCAAGCACTTCGCACGGGAAATGTACGATGAACACATCTACCTCCCGTCGGAACA